CACACACACACACACACACACACACACACACACAGACATCACACACACATGCACGCACAGACACACACACACGCACACACGTACACACACACACACACACACGCACACACACACACTCACACACGCACACACCTCTCTCTCTCTCTCTCTGTCTCTCTCTCTTGCGTGCGCGCGCGTGCGCACGCTCCTTCACGCCCACACACACACACACACACACAGCACACACACACGCGTACAGAAACTCTCTCTCTCTCACACACACACACACACACACACACACACACACACACACACACAATCAATCAATCAATCAATCAATCAATCAAATCCAATCAATCAATCAATCAATCAATCAAACCTTTTTTTTTTTAATTTCTTTTAAAATTTTGCATCTTTATTTTTTTAAAACACCTCATTTCCCTGCAAAAAACAAAAATCCAATTTAAAAAAAAATACAGGTGTACTCAGGGACCATATATCTCATGATAAAAAATGGCAAGAAAAAATTCCTGCTTTTTTTTTTTTTTTTTTTTTTTTAAATCGATTTTTGTTTTTGATTTTTAAAAAATCTTAAACAAAGTCAGTTTCCAAAAAAAAATAAAATAGGAGTGTAGGGTTTTTCAAGCCCTACACCCCCATATATATATATATATTTTACTTATTTTTAGAGGGAGAAAACGAATATTGAAAAACCGGGCCGTGGACTGGGCCTCATTGGCCGCGGCCGCGGCGGCCGAAATGCCCGCGGCCCATGCCGCGGGTGTCATATAGGTCCCAAACGTATGGGGTCCGAAGTACCAGCAGCGTGTTCCTCTGGTGGCGGGTTTTTGGCTTTTGTGTTTGCTGTTCGAGCGAGGGCGAACCGCTTCCGGTTTGCCTTGCAATGTTGCAGCATGCGCTCATTGGCTTGTTCTGATATCGAGAGTAGATGACCGATCGGAAGAGGAATCCGATGGTCTAATGTCCGTACGATGTTTAAGACGTCGATTTCCCCGGTGAGGAAGGTGGGTCCTTCCGACTCCATTTCTCATGGAGAAGGTTGCCACTCCGCCACTTCCCTTTGTTCCGGGGCGGGTCTGATTGTTCCAATCATGCCCAATCTCGGTTAACCAAGCGTTACGTATTGATCCAACGGAATGAGTTCAGCGACTTCTTCCGTCGTAGCTAGTGTGCTTCCTCCTCCTTCCGTTTCTTCCATCAATGCTCTTACTCGTCCGGCTCCATTAGCGATCGGGGCTGCTGCTACCGGCGTGGCTCCGATCCGTGGTTGAGGGGGTCGATGAGGGCAGTCCCAGGCTATATGCCCAGGTTGGTGACACGTGTAACAGAAGTTCAAGTTACCAGCAGCCCCTCCAAGAGCGGGTGCTGGTGCCAGTCCGTGTTGAATCGGGGCGGCACGTACTGCAATTGGTCGCATCGACCTCATCATCGCCTCTATTCGAGCATGGTGTTCCCGTTGTTCCTTTTTGCTTTCCTTGATCAGATTGACCAGTTCCAATAAGGCGGTTGATTTCATTCGGTCATGCGGGACTTTCGATTGTAGGTGGGGGTGTCGTCATCACGGGAACCGTCATGCCCGTAATCACACTCGAGGCTGGTCGTTTGGGGCTAATCTGTTCCAGATAGGTGACAGGGCTAGATACAAATCCCATGCTTTCGAACTTATTTTGTAGCGCAGCCAGCTCGGCTTTAGCTCTCGCCAGTTCGGACGAGTCTCCTTCCCTAGGATAATCTTCTCCTTCTAGGAAACTTGCGACGAATTTTCGTTCCATCTCTTCTGCGGCCGCCATGATTTGTTGCAGCGTGTGATTGATGGGTGATAACTGTTTCGCAGTTTCTCCCTCATCGCTCTGCTGCGAAGCCCATCAATAAACAAATCTCTACCCACCTGTTCGCCTCATTCGGTTCTTACAAACATTCGGTAAAATCGATTTCGATACTTAATGACAGACTTGAGGGGTTTTTTGACTCGATCTTTAATCATAAAGAGGGCCTGTTCCGGGTGGATATAATCGAATCGGTTCAGAAAGTCTCGCTCGAATGTCGGGAGATCAACCCATACATAGGTGCTGAACCAATGATGAGCGTCTCCCCCTAACCGAGCGGGAATGTTTACCTGTGCCTCATTGTCATCGTACTGCTGAGCTCGGAGCGTGGCCAGCCATGCTCCAACAATGTGGTGAGCGGGATCAAATAGATGGAGATCGGGTGGGGCCATAGGTGCCCGTGCTCGTGGTGCGGGTTGATTAGGATTTAGCTGCTGATTGGGGTTCTGTTGTGGGTTCGGGTTCTGTTGATTAGCGTTCCTGTTAGCCGCCCGTCGAGCCGCAGAACGGCTTCTTGTAACGACGGAGTCGAGTCGATGTTCGTTCCGGGGTCGAGGTCGCCCTCTGTTAGCCATTTCGCTTCGATCTTAGTTATCGCCCTATGAATACTATAGTCCCGCCACGTGTCGGCTCCGATACCAACCTCACGCCCGACGCGACTTCCTGATCAGAGTGGGATGTGGGCCTGGAAGTGCGAAAAGGGGTGTGCCAAGGATTTTGGGGAAAGTGGGGGTGGAGTCCCAGGTCAGAACTGAGATCTCCTGTGACAGGGGTTCAGGGGCATAGGTGCAATAAGGCTAAGGGACGGGTTACTTTCGGTCTGATGGCGGTCGATATCGTGCAGCATAAGGCAAATGACATGCGCGGTGCATCCTGGGTCGTCCGATCCACCTGTTTTAGTGGCGGCCGTTCGGGAGAGGTCCGTCCGTACGGGTTGCGATTTCTATGAGTCGCACCTCTGGGTGGGGACATGTGGCGGTTGTCGCCTCGTGTTATGGTTAGGCTCCGTAATTTCCGAGGCTCGGCGGTTGCCGCGTCGTCGGCAATTTTTGCACGGAGTGTGAGGCCAATACGGGGCTATGGAATTCCACGGAACCACCGTGAGTTGGTGGTACGGGAGGAGGATGTGGAAGGGAGGGAAATTGGTAGCGATAGCGACGAAGCCGGGGGATATGAAATATTGTGTGTTGTAAGTAGTCGGGTAGTTGGGGCACCTCAGGTCGCTGGTTATGGCACGGTGAAAGTCCCTAGCGCACAATCGGTTCTCGGTTAGACAGGGAAATTCCAGATATCTCAGCCTGAGACGTTGTTCCTCCCAGTGCTCTAAGTACTCCTGGTCCGCGATGTACGACATCTTGTCATTCCAGCGCATGTATCTGATCGTGCTTCGATCGACAAGGAAATTTCCGGGTATGGTGGCGGAAATTCCTATCGACCCAAATCCTCATAAAAAGGAAATTTCACACTTATTCGGATACTGGAGGTGCCGAGTTCGTCAGTGATCGCAAATCGTCCACGTGTGGGCATGTGTAGGCCGCGCTGATCAGATCGCGCTTACACGTGTGCACATTGGGTGTTCGATCGTGCACGGGCCTGCTGGCTGATTCTTGTGCAAAAAGTGAGAGTTCAATCCTACATGCAAAATCTCCAAGTGGCACAGATAATCACCCAACAATCATTCTGTAATCCCGCAAACAATCATTTCCGATCATGCAAAGTGGCATCGCACACATCAGGCATCGCGACAATATTAAACTCTCATCATGATATCAGCAGATAACGATGATGATTAGGCAAAAACGACAAGCACATCATTCCATCAGGGCTCGTCCCTCCAATATACACAAAAGGGAGGAGGGATCAAGGTCGAATGAGACTTCATGTGAGGGACAACATCGAGACAAAGATGCCAAAAGAAAATGAGGGCGAATTGCCTGAGCTGCAATCAAAACTTATATACAAGATTGTGAAAGACAAAAGAAAATTATAACTCCGCGTCCATCCATCTCAACTCTCTCTCTCTCTCTCTCTCTCTCTCTCTCTCTCTCTCTCTCTCTCTCTCTCTCTCTCTCTCTCTCTCTCTCTCTCCCCCCGATGCGGACAGTCCGTCGTCACGCACCAACCCACGAAGTTGTCACCCCGCTTAGTCCTCCTACACCTGTCGGGTTCGCCCGCGCACTACAGTCCGTCGTA